GTTTTTCTCCGGTACCGGGAACCGAACTCACGACCTTGCGCTTGCCAGGCAGGCGCTTTGCCGCTGAGCTAAATTCCCAGCCCCTCTGGTTCATTGTTAACAGTGTTTTTTCACTCAACTCTGAAAGGATGAGGCCAACTGTATCCCAGTCCCACTTTACAGATGTAGAAACTGAGGCACCAAAAAACCAAGTCTCTGGAAATGTGGGGAAACACGAGGCCGCTCACTATGAGGGTGAGGGGGCAGGTCCTGGCCGATGTAGGGGGCTGAGACTGTCCTGAGGGCACTGGGGAGCCACAGGGCGCCGTGGGGAGGGTAGCACCGGGCGCACTCAGACCTCCAGGGCCTCACGGAGCCTCGTGGGTGGAGTGGAAGCTTCTGGGGAAGCTTGTGGAGCCATGAGGGGGTCAGGATGAGAGCAAAGGGGGCCTCCCTTCTGTTGTATAGCAACCTCCCTCCTCTCGGAGCAGAATCGGGCTTTTCCCATCTCGGATCTGAGCTCTGTGGCCCCCTGTCCCGTCCCCTTCACCCCTGGAAGACAGCTGGCGGAGGGGGAGCGGAACGCACCCCAGCATCAGACCTGAGGGTGGCACAAACTTGCCAAAGAACATCTTAAGGCAATATTTTACCAAGCCAAAGTTAACGAAAAAAAAATTACAATGAACAAAATTCTCCCCCTTGTGGTGCTAGAGATTGAACTCAGGGCCTTTGACTAAGCTACATCCCCAGCCCTTTTTTTTTTGTTTTGACACAAGGGCTAACTAAGTTGCCCAGGCTGGGCTTGAACTCATGATCCTCCGGCCTCAGCCTCTCAGAGTGTTAGGATGACAGGCCCATGAACCAAACCTGGCTCAAAATACCCAATTTCCCGTAAAGTCCCATTACATATCAGGTGGACTGACAAAGATTGCGGGTCCCCATAGCATGTTTTGATGAATTTTTAAATGATTCGTTTCCCCTGAGAAGGCCAAAACATAAAGAAATAGTGGAAAACAAAGAGCAAGGGTATTAAAAATAATATTACTAGCCAGGCATGGTGACGCATGCCTGTAATTCCAGCACCCGGGAGGCTGAGGCAGGAGGATCGTTTCAAGTTCAAGACCAGCTTGGGCTACAAAGTGAACTCAAGGCCAGCCTGAACTGCATAGTGAGCCCCTGTCTCAAAATAAAAAGAAAGATAACATTACTTTATGCATATATATATATAATTCTAAACAAAATTTACCAGCATTTCTTTCTTTTCTTGTTTCACTGACTAAATGGTCGCAGTTTACAAAGTAACAATCTTAAATGGCTTTAAGGTGGCCCAGACCACAGGCCCCAGGCGGCTCATGTCACACATCACTGCTTCAGCCGCCCCAGCCTCAGCCATGGCTCGGTCTCCTCCTCCAAGAGGCCCTTTGGGAGTCCCCAGCCTGCAGGGCAGGGCCACCCCCATGCCCTCAACCCCTCAGACAGGGCTAGGGTATGGACCACTTTATACTAGGAGCTGCACCACCACACTCTGTGCTCTATTTTGACTTTATTATTCTCTTATTTATTAAAACTGTTTTGTTGGTCCCCACCCACTACAAGACAATGCACTTTTTTTTTTTTTCTTTTTCCTGAGACAGGGTCTCACTATGTAGTTCAGGCTAGTTTTGAGATCACCATGTAGCCCCGGCAGGCCTTGTACTCATGACGATCCTCCTGCCTCAGCCTCCTGAGTGCTGGGATTATAGGCGTGCATCACCACGCCCGGCTTCAATCCACTAACTTTCACAGCCCAGCTCTTCCCCTTTGTTTTCAATTTAGCATCCAGCTGACCGCTGCCTGAGCCCGTCCTGTCCGCCCCTCACATCCGGTCCCCCCGGACGCACAGTTGCTCACCTCCACCAGCTGGTGCCAGTGCTCCACCGGCTTGCGCGGGTTGGCCAGCATCTCGGCCCAGTGCTCGCGGCCGTGGGGGTCGGCGGCCTCGGGGCCCACGCGGCACACGCCGATCACCTCGTTGTGCCCGATGCTGCAGGGTGGGGCGGTGA